TTTCATTCTAGGCGAAATCTTCGGATCACACAACACCCCTGAGGCTAACCGCCATTTGGCCCAAGCCACTCCAACCCGATGTCCAACATCCGCATCTAACTCCCCATCCGCCTGAATTACCGAGCCAAGATAACGAAACCTGTCTACCTTAGGTACTAGGTGAGAGTCAATCTTGACTTCCACCTCTGATTCTGTATCCCGGCCGCTGAAACGACATTCCATGTATTCAGTCTTATTCCTACTTATTCTGAATCCTTTAGTCTCAAGGGCAAGGCGCCATAATTCCAACTTATCGTTTAGTCCCTCTCGCGTGTCGTCAATAAGCACAATATCATCCGCGAAAAGCATGCACCATGGGACCCCGTCTTGAACACCTTGAGTTAGGACGTCCATCACCAAGGCGAACAAAAAAGGGCTAAGAGCAGACCCTTGGTGTAACCCCATCCCTACCGAGAAGGAATCTGAGACGCCCCCAAAAGTCCTTACCTTGGTCATAGCCCCATCGTACATATCCTTGATCGCGCGAGTGTACATGATGGGAACTCCTCTCGCCTCAAGGCACCTCCATACGACCTCCCTTGGTACCCTATCATACGCCTTCTCAAGGTCAATAAACACCATATGAAGGTCCTTCTTCCTAGCCCTATACTCTTCCATTAACCTCCTCACGAGATGAATGGCCTCTGTAGTCGATCTGCCAGGCATGAAACCAAACTGGTTCTCCGAAATGCAAACCTCTTTCCGCACCCTATACTCAATAACTCACTCCCAAACCTTCATGGTGTGGCTAAGCAATTTGATGCCTCTGTAATTCTCGCAGCTCTGAATGTCACCTTTGCCTTTAAACAGAGGGACCAAGAGACTCTCCCTCCACTCATCAGGCATCCATGCTGTTCGGAGGATAACATTGAAGAGTTTGGTTAACCAAACCCACGCATCACGACCCGCATGCTTCCAAAACTCCACTGGAATCTCATCTGGTCCCACAGCTCTCCCATTACGCATCACGCGGAGAGCCCGAACCACCTCTTCCAAGCAAATGCGCCGGCAGTACACATGAGATGGAAGAACATAGACCTTTTTCATGGGATATAGACCAGTTTGCATCAAATGTCTAGATGAAATTTACATCAATTCACGCAGGGTAGAGATGACATACATTTTCATGGGAGCTTTTTCTCTGACGATACTGCTCCTGAAGAGGAAAACGACTGGATCCAGTCATGTTCAATGCCATAGAGTCTCTTAATCCTGCTTCCATCACGTTAATAACACACAAACAAAAAAATAAGCGAAAAACAACAGCTGCAAACAGAAATATATATTCGGAAACAAAAGGGCCTGCAAAAACAATATTAGACCATTAAGAGATCAACAAAATTAATCAAAATTGAATGTAGAATAAAGAACGACAGAGATTCAAAGTATCAAGATCGAAGATCGAGAGCCTTTGGGAGATCGATTGAGAACAGATTCAATGTAGCAAGCGAGAGCGAGAGAGAGCAGAAAACGGAAGCGGATTGAGAATGGTTCGCTTCAAACTGTTCTAGGGTTATATTGACGCCGTTTGGCAAAAAAGAGTCGTTGTAATTTACTTGGACTAAAATGCCCATCCGAGTCAGGGGGGTTCCAGCAACTCTATGATTTGGAAAGGAGCTCTTAATTACGCTCATTTAATTATTAATTACACAATATAAAAACTATAAACAAGTAATAAATATCATAATCATCTTGCCAAACCAGAGCCTTCCTGTCACGTTTGCTACGCCATATGTGCACCACATTTTCAGCCATATCTTCATCCTCCACTACTCTACTGTCAGCCCACTTGCATCACTATCATTTTAGCCATAGCATTATCTGAACTAGCAAAGGTCAGAAGCAAATAGGATATAAGAGATGGACCAGTTCTGTTAGAAGTAAATGATTTGGTGTAACTGGAATCAAAGATTGATCAATGTATCCCAAGTTTTGTTGGAAATAAATGGTTGATTTACCTCATCAGAGATAGATCAATATCCTAAGCATTCCATCCCCTCCCCTTCCCATTCAACTTTCACTCTTGAGTAGAGCCTAACAAATGCTTGAACCCCTTGTCTTGAAAGCCTCCAATAGCACTAAAACAATTAGAAACACAGAATGTATAACATAATATAGTGAGAATGCTCCAATATATAAAACCAGGAATGACCAAAGTACTCTGTAAAATATTGAATGCCACAATGCATGGGCACTCACTCGGAAAAAGTAAGATCTTGAAAAAGTAATGGAGGAATCTATACCCGAGATTACATCAAGCATATAGTAAATCGGGCATCAACGGATTCGGTTAACATGAGCGAACGGCTCCGGGTTAGACTTGGGAACCTGTTTTTTGACTTCAGGGGTTCCAAAAACATTCCAGAATCTTAGTGTTTCACCTGCAGCAGATGCAACAGTGCAACCATCTGGGCTCTGCACAACAAATATGATTGTGAGTATACTAATCATTTACCACGCACAGCCACAAAAATCTTTTGTTATTAATTTTGTGAGAAAAAGAAGAAAGATAGTTAAACCTGAGCCATAAAAAGAACTCGAGAGGTATGTCCCGTAAGCTCTGCCATTTTAACCATTAATGGGTATTTTCAGAGCATGAGCTGATTCTTAGTAAACCCATGAGAGCTAAGCAACTCGCGCTCACTCTTGTTCCACAGCAATGCGCACACCTGAGACCCTGTATCAACTGAGTTCACACATGAACCGATATGAGTATTGCAGAACTTAATGCATCGGTCTCCTCCACCTCCGCCTGAGGCCAAAAGGTTCCCCTGAAATGGACACCAGGCAAGGGCCTTAACTGCAGCTGTGTGTTCCTCGAACCTGTGAAGCCATTGTGTGGTTGAGGAGGTGGAGTTGGAAGAAGAAACAGCAGTCGATAATCTGTCCCATATATAGAGAAGGTTATCGTTTCCTCCGCTTGCCAACTGCTGGCCCGAGGCAGACCATTTTAGGCTGCACACTTCTTGACTATGTCCTCTGTAGGTTTCCACAATATGTGATCTCACCCGGACGTCATTGTTGAAAATCATACCATCCATCCCACCTGTTGTCAGTATATGATTGTTCCAATCGAGGGCTCCTACTCGTGATTGGTGGCCACCTCTCAAAGTTAGTAACTGCCCAGCAAACAAAAACTCAGTATTCATTCAATCA